GCAGGGAGCTCATTGCTGACAGACTTCATTATAAATGAGCTTTGCCGAGGCTTCGCTGAGGTATTACTGTAATTATTTTCGAAACTTCGGGTCCCACCTAAACGACCTTTGCATCTCACCAGTGGGACACTTCTCACCAGCTGAGAAACACTGTCCTACAGGTCCTCTCTTCATGTTTGGACACTGAGTAGTACAGACTGAGTAATTAGGTGTCTAATCCCAAAATCCATGCATCAGGTCCAGGATAAAAGAGGATATAGCATACTTGAAAGTAGGATCAAGGGGCAGAACAGGCTGATTGGGCAAATGGAGAGGCCTAATGAAAAAATACATGAAGATTAAAAAAACAAAACATGTTTAAAATGACTTCAGACGCTTGGTTTTCTTATATCTTCCCATCTGTCATCCTTGGCTGGGTCCATTCTTTCCCTTTGTATAATTAGACTATAGCCTTTTTTGGGCGATGGAGGGCAGGAAGTTCCTGCTGCCTCACCTAGGTTGTCTCCCAGGGCGCCACACTTCCTGGACACTCAATGATCCCAGGAGGACTTACTCTGTGTTGAAAGGTTAGGCTGCAGACCATTGTAAGGGCAACAGCAAAACTGTTAGTTCTTTACTATAAATAGTTTATGTAAGTTCTTACAAATGAAGTGTTGTTCCCCATCAAAAGCTTCTTATCAAGATACTACCAGCAGTTCACTTACTGTTCAGGCATAAGCTGTGGTGCTCAGCCAACAGGGATGTCTTAACACAAGCTTCCTCCACCCCTTCAGCTTGCTGAGCCAAACAAGCAGCAGCTTGCAACTGCATGGCATGCACAGGGTCTTCAGATATCCTTCTATTCCAGTGAAGAAAACACATTCCCTGCTTACTCCATACACCCCAGTTTTGCAGGGCTGATTTTTGGAGGGAATGGTGCATGTTGTACACAAGAAAATGTCCTGTGTATAACTTAAAATATGTGTTCCAAGGATGCATCCAATTTTGTAAAATTTCAGTAGGAATTTTTAGTATTTACTTGTAGGAATTTTATTTAATTTTAAGTTAATAATAATATTAACAATAATAAGCAGACAGCATTACAAAGTCACATTATTTTGTAAGAGAAAAAAGTTTGTGACGCTGAAAAATTGTTTCAGCTCAATAGAGAGTACTTGTAATAAGATGAGGTAAAGTCCTTATCCCCCAAAAGAGGAAGAAGATCTGTTAAAACATAATTTCTTCAAATTTATGCACTGCAGAATTGTGTTGAAGAGGTTGAATTCATAGGCAACAGTAAAAGATTTCAGCAGCTCTTGTATTCCATAGATTTATAGGTTACAAAAGCTCTTGTTTTGAGAGCCATCCAGGAGGCCAAACCTGCTTACTGTTTGTAAGCTGTAGAATAAGCAGTTACGATTAATTCTATTCTTTTAAAACATTTTCCATAATGGCAATACCTCAAGTCTTTTCTATTGGAAAAAATGGAAGTTTTTTTCTCTTAGATGTGCCTGGAAATGTATTTTGTTTCTTGATCAAGTATTATTAGTTGTTGCTTAAAAGCAGCAGGAGTTATTGTGCTACAGGTGTTCATGTTGATTTATAGATAAATAGAAAAGTCCCTTCCATGAGGAACTTATTCATTTCCTTTGAGAAAGTTGATGAGTCATAGGAGTGGAATTTTGACAACACTGGCTTCTAACCTTTGTGAAGAATTGGAAACATTAATCAGAATAAAGCCTTGGTTGTATTAGCCAGTGCTCTCAGCCTGCCATTTATTTGGAGTTGCTCTAATATACAGTTTAATTATTGGTGCTCTCACCATTGCAGAGATCAAGACTATTACTGCCTGATGGGGAGAGTTTAAGCTTCTCTTTCAATCAGAGAACAAGGGTTTGGAATAACCCACTGAATAAAAGGTGGCCAATGTCAGTATACTGATGCCCACCAAGAAAAATTACCATCCAGGGTCGGGTGGAATTTTGACTCTAAGAGAATGGACAGATGACCACGTTAATGAGTAAAAATGGGACAAAGGCTTATTGTGCATCAACTGCTCAGAGATAATTGTCTGTTTGCAGTCTTTTGCTTCAGTAAGCAAAAGCTAAGCCGTAATTTTTCCATCAATGAAAGAGGGCTAAGCTGCCATTGTTTAGCATCTACTTACCATGGGATAAGAGTGTGCATGTTGACAGCTGGTGTAAAAAAATGACAAATGGAAAGTCCCCGTTCCCTTTTAGTTCGCTCTAATTTGTTCATTTGTCTCTCTTGTTAATTGCAAAAATATGAAGATTCACTCTTGTTTTTAAAACTATTCCTTCTTTTGCTCTTGTTTATTATCATTTAAAATATATATTTATATTATGGTAGTTCCTGAAGGCCCCAGTTCTGATCTTATCAAAGATTGATAAAAGCGAGTCCTTTCCCTGAAGACTTTCATTCTAAAGACGTTTTCTCTACTTGCTTTCTCACGCTAACCTCTCTGTTCCTGCTATCCCTCCTCATCCCTATACTCTTCACAATGACATTTAGTACCTAGTAGATTGGGGTCAGCAACCTTTTGTTGGCATAGCCAACCCTACTGCAGGCCACAAGTCTTCACTCCCTAGAGGAACGTGTTGCCTGTGTTTTACCCTCATCTCTGTCCTCAACCCCTTTGCAGTGAGGTTAAGAGCAGACGTGGCAGAGCAGCAGGCTCTGCAGCTAAGGGGAGTGCTGCAGAGGGGATGGGTAGTTGGCTGCAGCTTGTGCCATCAATCCTCTGTGCCAGATTGACCCTTTGCTGGGCCGCATCTGTCCTGTGTCCACCAACCCGAATCTTAGATTTCTTAATATAGAAAGCTCAGACTGAAGGGGAAATTAATAGCAGCCTTTAACTACCTGAAGGTTGGTGGGGTTCAAAAGGGGATAGAGCTAGAGTGTTCTCCACGGTGGCAGGTGACAGAGCAAGGAGCAACAGTCTCAAGAAGCAGCAAAGGAAGTTTAGGTTAAATATTAGGAAGAATTTTCTCAGTAGGAGGGTAGTAAAATGCTGGAACAGGTTACTGAGAGGGGTGGTGGAAGCTCCATCCTTGGAGGTTTTCAACACCGGACTAGACAAAGCTTTGGCTGGGATGATCTAGTTGGGAATGGTCCTGCTTTGAGCATGGGTTGGACTAGATGACCTCCTAAAATCCCTTCCAACCCTAACTTTCTGTAATGCTGTGATTCTGTCTCTTACCTATACTTGTGCGTGACAAAGACCTGGAATTCAAAACTGACTTTCAACCTTTGGGTATGGAGATTTAGTTAGCCTTGTTAGCCTGAAGTTAGGCAGAAGGCAGGGCAGGGTGGCACTTTGGAGATTGACTGATTGATTCAGAAAAGTGTAAACATTGTAGGTGGCAGCTTGCTTTGTCAGATGCTTTCTGAACTGTTGGTATTATCATTACAAGTGGGCTGATAGCCTGACATTTCCTATGATAAGCAAGTGAATATAAGATCTTAAAACTTTGTTGGACTTAAATTGTTTGGGCTAAAGTTTTGTGTGCAGGGTGTCTGCTTTTAATATTGTTATTGATCTTGTTGTTTTAATTTTCAATTGAACAGCTCACCTGCTTCTGAGAAAAGAGGAAAAGTGTTCCTGTGTCCTTGCTTAAAAATATTCAATTGCTTTTTTCCTTTGAATGTTTCTAGCACCTTTTGTACTGAAACAGGGACTTGGAGCAGAGTTAAGAGGTGACTTTTGTGTCAAGAATGTGTCTTTTGTCATTCCATATAAAAACCTACCTAAATGAGTCAGGGTTCCTGTATGGGGGAGAAAACTGCAGGTGAAAATGAAAGTAAAGACTGAACCATAAGGCACAAGAGCACCAAGCAAATGTTGAATGAATAACATTAATTGTGCCATTTTTGGTTGATTATTGTGATGTTAATAATTGTCTTTTTGTTGGTAATAGTATGAATGTTTACTAATAAGAGCAGCATAACAGAGGAGAGAAACCATATGGGTACCTATACATGAGCACAGAGGCTGCTCTGATGCACTGGAATTCCAGCGTGTCGGAGCAGACTGAGTCAAGTCTGCTGGAGCGTGGTAATTACCACACTCCAGCAGCGTCCTGCGTCTCATTTATCAGCATCTCCGTGCTTAAAAATGGCAGCGAGGTGCTTGAACTAAAGCTTAACTGATTTAGTTTAGGTTAAATCGGTTTATTGAACTTCTGTCCCAGGTCCCCTCCAGAGTCAAGTCAACTCACAGTCCCCTAGCATCACAAGTTGCTTTGCACCTCCCCCGCAAACCTCCCCTCACAGTGTGGGTGGGCTAGCCTGTGCCCAAGCTGTCTGTTCCAGCAGAGTGGAGAGGAGTGCGCTAGCACCCCCACCTCTTCCCCACCAAACCCCACCCCAGCTTCTGGCCTGGGCTGCTGTAGGTATGTGGTTGCATTTTTGGAATCAGAAGCGAATACCTATTCACTTGCTTATCAGTTTAATCTATGCAATTTAGACTGGCATGTGAAGATTGAATCGAGTCAGCCTCAAGCTTTTTGACTGTACTTAGCCCATGAGGCATCATGTAACATGCTTCCTGGAATTTGTTGGTCTATACATTCCCTTTTATTGGGGTAGGCAAGGATGATCATCTGGAGGGAATACCTGGTCCTGCACTGTATACTTCTTTCCCTCAGTAGAAGAAGGAACGGAATATCTAGTGATGCCCAGATTTTTTGGGCCTTTAAGCAGTATATCGCTGTGCATCTTAACCAGGCAAAGATTAAGATTGCAACTGAGGCAAAATGGCTGGCTCTTTTTGGAGTTATGAGCAATAATGAATCACTTCAGTAATTTGTTTTTCCTACAGCGCCAGATGACTTTATTGCAAGAATCAGCATGGGTTTAACCAGCCATACTTATGTCTTTATCTAACTATGGTAATATACCGTTTTTGCTCATTTGGTACATTTCGCTACAAATTACATTAATATAAATGGTGTCTTACCTAGCTGCAGAAACACTGATTTTTTTTTTCTCTTCACTTGCAGCTTTTACGAGAATTGAAGCACCCTAATGTCATTGCGTTACAGAAGGTTTTCCTTTCCCACAGTGACAGAAAGGTTTGGCTGCTGTTTGATTATGCCGAACATGATTTGTGGGTAAGTACAGATTTTGACACTTTTGGCATTCATGTGTGACCGATGTGTTTGAGTTTTGTCATTCTCTAAGATTGTAACTGAGGTTCCATTATTAGTCCAATTGTGGTCTTCCATCTAAAATCCATCTACAATGTCATGTACACCTCAAAACTGGGTGATTAGATTTGAAAACAAGACAGTTGTTCTGTTAGACTGAAATTGAATTAAAAAGGGGATTCTAAATTGTGGCATCATAAAATAGAAAAAAAAAATCCAAACCAGAACATTTTTTTGGCCTCTGTGTTGCAAAAACTAAAACAGCATGGCAGAAAGGGTGTAACTACCTTCACAGAGACATAGTGTTCAGGGGTGGATCTGGGGGCTGGAAGGTAGAGTTGCACCCCAGCTTGATCCTTTCTGCCAGTGCAAGGAGGAGGGCCCTGGTTGCTCTTTGGGGTGTCAAGGCGGGGAGTGGCTATGAGTGAGCTAGCATGATTTCCTCAGTCTTCCTCTGACTCTGCTGATTGTAAGTTGCAGCTTTCTGGTCACAGTGGGTGGATGGGAATATTGCATGGACCACCTGGGAGCCACAACAGCAACATTACCTTATGTGGTTTGGGTTCCCTGCGCTTTAGCTACTGGTGTTGTGATGCAGGCTTTTGCTGGGGGCTGCTAGCATATCTAGGGAGTGTGAGCAGAGCATGAGCTCTAGGAGCCAATTTTGATGGGGACATCTGACTGGGGGCCCCATGGAGCCTGCACCGGGGCTGGGGGTGCACTGCACTCTGATTTTGATTTGGGTACAGATTATCAAGCTCCCCATATGTCCAAAAAATACTTGTATCTGGGGTTTGGGTTCAAAGCCTAAAGAGACTAAATGGTTGCTCTGAGTAATCTGCGATGCAAAGTTTCTCTGAAATCATTCTTATGATTTCTGATATAGTCAATATCAATCCCAATAGTATTTTATTAGGGTTTTTCAAATTGGAAAGCTAACATTACTAATGACAAGTTTAATATGATTGACAGATTATTGAATGAATTCTAATTATGTTAAATGAAAAGATCTACTTACACAAGATACTATCATAAATCTGTTGCTGGGAAAAGTAAACAGACCATGTACAAGGAAAAAAAACTACTTCTCTTGGAATAAAATCAAAGGTTTCATTCTGCTATATACACCAGATATAATTAGTTGAGCTTCTGCTATAGTGACAGATTTGCACCCATTCACTTTTCAAGTTTTCTTCATCAAAGTTAAATTACACAAAGAACATATTTATTCCTCTCAACTGATAACTGAGCATGTTTTATTCCCATTTCATGTAATATAATTTTACATGCATAGAATTTAATTCGTTCTGTGCATCAGTTGAATTTACCTGCTTTTAGGCAAAACCAGATTGTACTGCTGCACTGTGTCATCTTCAAGACCCCTGTTCACAAGTCTTTGCCATTTGAGTGTTTTGGGCATGTAGTGTTCACATTGTTATTTAAAAAATGTCACTAATAGCTTCAGATGAAGAATCACCGTGTTGTACTGCTCTCACCACTCCCTGTAGTCTGGCTATTATTTAATCAAGGTCCCAATTACTTGATATTTAATGTTTGCTACCCTAGTTTTATATGATCTGGTCTCCTGCTTTCTCATCTCCTCAGTCCTTTCCATGTGACATTATTGCCACTAAAATAATTTCCATTTCCTCCACACCTGATCATGTCTTCCTACTTTTTGAGCCTTTACAAGAATGCCCGCCTCTTTCTTTGTGTAAAGTTAGTTGTATTCAAATCTGCCTAACTTTTGCCCTTCCCTAACTTTGCCCTTATATCCTCTGCAGTTGGCTTGTGCTTTCCACACCTCTCCAGCATATCTCTTAGCACTTCCCCTTTTGTCTCTTTTGCTCACTCCCAACTTTGTGTCTTTTTCCACGCTGCCTCCTACACATGGAACAGCCTTCCAATTAACGTACGTAAAGCTCCTTCACTCTCCTCCTCCTTCAAAAAAAAAACCCTCCTTAAAATACACTTGTATTGTGACACATTTCAGATATAACGACCACTTGCCATTCCATCTGTGTTGTGTTGTGTTTTGCGTTTCCTGTGCCCTACAGCTTGGGCCCTTAAATTCACTGGGATGGAGAACTTGCTATGTGTTTGGCAGTCTTCCTACTGACCCACTTTCACAGAACTCCCTAAAATAAAATGTGTATTTGTTGGTTGTATATGTCTGAAAAAAATCTTTGAATTGTGGGATAATAGATGTGCTTTGCCAGCAAGATGTATATCAGAACCAACATTTTTCAAACACAGGTGACTAAAAATAGTTATTTCCATTTAGATATAAGCACCTATATCACCTATGTCCTGATTTTCAAAGTTGCTAAGTATGGGCAGCTTTTTCTGGCTTCAGAGAGCACTGTAAATGCTCATTGCTCAAAAATTAGTTTGCTTTGAATTAAAGGGCTTAACTTCAGGCTCCTGTGCTAGAAAATTTTGGCCAGACATGAATAAGGAGGGAATGCTAGATTCTATCATCTTCCATTTGTTTTGTAATACAGTAAAACTTCATCCTATTAATTAAGAAAAATGATGGGTGGAAGTACAACCATTAAAGTCTTTGGAACTGGATGATAATTACATGTGATCTAAATGGTCTTTTATTTTGGGCAAGAAAAAACACTATTAATTTTTTTTCAGTGTCTTAATACCAGACTATCACAGACCATCATATTTGATTATATGTGGGCAGATACAAGTAAACATAAACTTTAATTTGTTAGTAGCTTATGAAGTTGGCATAAGGCAGTGGTGAAGAGAGTTACAATAATTTAAAAATATTTTTGAATAAGTCTTTATTAATATATGGAACATTATCTGTCCTGATTATCAACCAATCCTAATTACCCCAGACCCCCACCCCCACACACAAATATGTTTCAGATTATATCAGATAAAGCAAGCAAAACAGTCCATATGAAGGAGGAAGAATAATTCAGAGATAAACATTCACTGTGTAGTAATTTTTCAACCAACACTTGGTTCTATACATCAATTCTAAAATTCTTAGTATAATCCACAAATGGATTCCATATATTTTAAAGTAAACTCATTCCTTTATTTTATAAATCTGTATGTCAAATAATATGAACTGAGTAAGACTATCTGTTGTTCTTCTGTTGGGGGCATATTGTCTTCTAGCATCTGAAATTTATTTATTTTTGATTCTTTATAAGGTAATTTGCATTCAGATTTGTCTTTTTTGATAAAAATATCTTTAGATAAAAACAATTATTTACTCTACCTGAAGCTGAGTTAATTATAAAGCCACAGGTAGAATGCTATCCTTTCTTCCACTTGACTATCTCCAGTACACATCTGTTTGCACTGTCCTATGAAATATGCTGTGTTGGGTAAGCCACATCTAAGAAAAAGTGCAATTCATTAAGCCAGGCTCCCACTTCTTTGTTATACTCAGGCTTGACCTTGCTTAATTTTTTTAAATAAAGATTATTTTAAATGTGTGTCTTGATGCCTAATAATTAAGAAACTGTTTTTGGCCTATTGCATTTTTCTTAGTGTTTTTTTTTCTATTCTGTCTTAGCTTAAGGGGATTTTTTTTGTACGTTTGTTTTTTTTTCTGCTGCTGTCCACAACTTCCAGAGTGTATCTTAAGCAATTTAAGATCTCTCTTATTAAAATTTGTAAATCATAACTGATGTCCACTATGTTTGACTTTCTTTAGTAAGACTTTAAGACTGTTGTAAGAGTGCAATGTAACAAATAGGGATAGGTTCCCATGGTGGTGAGGGAGGGAGTGAGGCTGGGACTAGGGAAGGGACGGGTGCCACTCCCAGGGCTGCAAAAGGCAGCAAGGCGGAGGGAATAGAGCGGCACTCACCCCAGCCCTGGCTGCAGTGGCCCTGGGAGTGGCAGCCACCAGCTGCCCTCAGCCACTGAGGACACTGTGCTCTGCCTGCCCCACTCACCTGCTCCTGGGTCGTGCCATGCCCTGGTGCAGGCAGCTACTGTCGACTGCTTCCGGGGCCACTGCAGCCAGGGCTGGGGTGAATGGGGCCATGGTCCTTTCCTCTCCCCCCACAGACTTACTTATTTGGGTGGGAAGGCATCTCTGCTGATCTCATAAGAGTGAATTTACCTCGCATATAATGACTTATGAGTCTAACTGTGCTCATCACATAAGAGCGAATTTGCATATAAAGAACCGACATAAATCGAGGGAAACCTGTACATTTCTTTTTTTTTTCCCTCTTTACTGATCAATGTGGCAACTGCAGTCATGTTGGGGAGGGCCCTTAGTGGGCTGGCAGTCGCCCCTCTGGTGTTCAGGTGAAGCGGCTACCTCCCCTACTTGCATCATCCCCTCCGTTGGAGACGAGGCTCTCCACCTTCCTGGAGGATGTTTGGCCAGACCCTGCCGAGCTAGAACGAGCTGCCCTGGGAGTCCTTCCAGAGGTCTGACCATGCCAAGAGATGCTGGTGAGAGCTGGCAGTCCTCGCTGGGGAGCCCTATGCAGGTCCCTGCCCCTCCACCCTCCTTGTCTTGTGGACGCCATCTTCACTAGCAGTTAGTATGAGGGCGGATGCCGCTGAGGTGTCTGCCTTTGCACCCCGCCATGTTGCCTGAGGGGGCATCCTGGGGAAAGTGGGTGGGAAGAGGATGCTTGGGCTGAGGCCCAATGCCTACCCTTCCCTCCTTGTTGTCCTTCCCCGTGCTGCTGTGCTGCAGTCCCCACGCCTTCCCCGCCCTGGGGAAGGGGCCCTGCAGGGCCGCCAAGAGGCAGGGGGCTGCAGGCAGGAAAGTTGCTGGCCCTAGGCCAGTGGGCACCTGTCCGTGAGGCTCCCACACCGCGCGCTCCGTCGCCTAAGGAGCATGGCTACCTGCTTGATCCTGCCAGTAGCATATGCTTGTCTCAAAGATTAAGCCATGCATATCTAAGTACACACAGCTGGTACAGTGAAACTGCGAATGTCTCATTAAATCAGTTATGGTTCCTTTG